GGGATGCCGCAGATGTAAACCTATGGCAATCACTATACCTGCATACTTTGAACAGCCACAGGATCTGCAGCGTGCTAAGCAAATCGTTCGGAACCAGCAGCGATGTCCATCAAAGTTGCCCTATTTCACTATTACTATTCAAGTTCATTGCAGATGAAATACTTGAAAAAGGAAGTGGTCTGCACAACGTCAGAACTGAATGGACAGCTGTGCGATTTAGAGTACGCTGATGACATCGTGTGTCTGTTCGAATGTATGTAGGATGCGCAAAGGGCTCTTGACACTTTCAAGTTCTGCAGCTTCATTTGGTATCCGCTTTGCACCTTCAAAGTGATGCTACAAAATTGGTTGTGATGCTTGATGGTCAAGAATTACTTATGGTGGATTGTTCCTCCTTTTTGAGTAGTTGCGTGACAAACGATAGCAGGGTAGTCAAGGAAGTAACCGCCCACGTTTCCAAGGATAGAGCAGCCTACGTCGGACTGAAACACCTTTTGTGCAGACCCGATGTTTCCTTGAAATTGAAAGGTAGCGTATACAGCGCCAGTGTGCAGTCAGTTATGCTTTACGGTCGTGAGACCCTAATTTTCTCGTGGAAGATATTCATCGTCTAGAAGTCTTTGACTTCCGATGCCTATGTAGTTCGGCGCGGTTGAATGGAGCGCGCGGGTAAGCAACTCTGAGATAAGTAGTCACAAATTTCGTAATGATTCAGTGGAAAATTCGTTATCATATGGCATTTAGATCGGTAAGCACCGTTGGTTAGAACACTTATTGCGCATGCCCAGCTATCGTCATTCCACCGTATTCGCAGTTGCAACTCCAGGTTGGAACAAACCACGTGGAGGTCAACAGATGACGTGGAAACGGGGGATGAATAAATGCACAGAGCGATTAGGTGGTGATTCCCATCTTTGAGGATGGGATCCGAAAGACTCTCTAACGCGTTGGTTGGAGACACTGAAGGATATGGCAACTAACCGACAGCAGTGGCGTTCTTGTTGTCATTTCCTCACTCGGTTAGAATACTTGAAAATGTACGTATGCACAGTTAGGTTGTATACTCCATGTTTTGACCACAGGTTCACTTTCTTTGCCTCCCTACAGTTGGGCCCAAATCCATCTCGCACTTTCGCAATCACCTTGTGTGCATTGAGAGATTGGCAGCAATCAGAGATGATGACGATGACCGAAAGAAAACGCATGATTAATGGTTGTACAAGCAGAAATTGATACTTTCCTAATGTGTGTATGGAAACGACCGACCAAAGAGCTGTACGAGTCTAGCGACATGAACGAGCGAATATGAACTAGCTCAAATGAACCCTAGTTGCTGAACAGGTATTAACCATCATAGTTGACCAAGTAGTGGTCACTATTCAAGAAAGGGAAAAAGGTATATGCAAACAGGTATATGTACACTTCGTGATGCACGGTATGCACAGATGAACAGATACTTGGCAGAATAGATCAACACAACAGAGTAGCCCGTAGGTATGGAATGCACATTCTTGAAAGGATCATAGTTTCGAAGGGTCCGCACTGAGCGCATACATAGCGCAAAACAACAAAAGAAAACGGGTGAATAAATTAAAAAGACCACGCAGTTGTAAAGAAGATTTGTACAAGACGGGCCTCCATCGAACAGCTCATGCGCCAGTGCTCATTGATGATCAGGAAAGGAAGGACAAAACTATCCCCAGCATCATGGCGGAGGAGACATCAGCAGTTACTCCCAAATGAGGAATAGCGAGAATGTCAGGTGTGTGATGTGGTAAGGCTATTTGTTTTTCGAGTATATGCATGAAACAGAACGCACGACATGCAGAATGCACAATAACACGAATGAATAATGACATCCTAGCGTGTCCGGAAGGGTAAACATCATGTTCAGAAACAGGTGAAGTCGCTGGGAATTAGCTGGAACTAGGTGGACTGATTCAATGGATGTGAATGGTGAGTAACTTCAGAACAATGAAACAGGAAAACTTCATTGGATGTATTGAAAACCAAATCGCTTTATTCGTTTGCTCAGTACCATCCATAGTCGCGGGTTTATCACAGTTCCAGATGAATCTTCTCTGTAAAGTCAGACAATGATTAGAATCTGTTAGAAAGAAGTTTACATTCGTTTCAAAATAAACACATATTAATAGTGAATAAAAAATTTAGCTGCCGTTAAAAACCCAGCATAATAATGCCTCTGTATATTTTTTGATCACGTCATTATTATTCTTAGCAAAACAAACATAAAGAACTCGTTAAAACCACGCTTGCTTGATGTGAAAATTATAATATAACATCAAGAAACCTGACCTTCAGGAGCTTTAGAACTTGATTCCTGTCGGGTTGATTCCATATTTGCTCTTGGTAACGGTTCCATCGTCTTCGATTGTTCAGTGGTCGATTTCTTCTCTACAGAAGACGGGGACAGTTAGACATGATGTAGTGAATACTGTATCAGTGAGTGCGGGAATAAGTAACAACGAACATCGGAGTATCCAAACAAATTTCAATCTCAAATGATGAAGATAATTCTCTTCATGCAGCGTAGTACAGAAATTCGCTGACCGGTACCAAACTCATTAGGAGTACAAAGAGCGGGTGAGAAAAGCGAATAAGTTGTTCAGTTTTCACAAAAGGGAAGAATAGAACCTCTATGATCAAAACACGGAGTATACAACCTAATTGTGCATACATGCATTTTCAAGCATTCTAACCTGAAAACAAAATGAAAACAAGAAGGCCACTGCTGTCGGTTAATTACCATGTCCTTCGGTGTTTTTAACCAAATAACCTCGAAGATGGGAAACACCTACTCTACCTAATCGCTCTGTGCATTTATTCCACACCATCTTTTGACGATCACATCGTTTTCTTTATCTTAGAGCGGCTATGACAAATGAAACACGGTGCAGTATGCTACCATCAGCTGTACACAAAACGAGCCTATAGAGCTGAATTCGATGCAATAGTGAGTTCTTCCTTGATTTACATTTAGTTTTCCAACATGTTAACCTAATCCCACCTACGCCCAATTACGTAAGCATAGGAT